ATCTTTGAAAGCTAACTAAACTTAACACTTAGCATATTAGGCTTTTAAACTTTCACTGAACTGTTTGGAATTTCCAGCATTTTGGCCAGTGAAATTGTGTCTGTTGATAGTTTTAAGGTTTCAAAATGGTAATGATACAGTTATATACAATTGTAACTGAATATATTAAAATTTTTATAGGATATATTAGATTCCAATACAATAGTTATAATATATATAATTATAATATAATTGAATATACTAAATTTTGAAATTTTTCTATTGAAGAAAGGTTTCGTAGCCTCTTAGACCTGCATTCAAACACAGCACTAAATTTCACTGAAAAGTGCTCTGATTTCATGGTTTCTCACAATGAAAAGTGAACTTCACCTCATAGCTGCTGACAATGACCACCGCCAACACATTCTACATGATGTGGCCCCAAGGCTGGCCATGCGTGTACCTGGCCATGTGTGGACTTCCCTGGGCCCTTGGGGTGAGCTCACCTTTCAGGGGATAGAGAGTCTGCAGAAGGGTCATGGGATGCTTCGGGGCTACCTCACAAGCAAGGAGGGAAGATACCTAAAGGCAGTTTAAGTTTCTCTATGCTCCCTAGGTGATAAGAGTCTCACTTCTGAGGTTTCAACCTCAAGCCAGTTCAGCTGCCACTGTTAAGGACGCTGGCCCTAACTGTCCAGTCACATTTAACGCCACCTACCCAGCTGCCTGCCCACCCTGTCCACTGGTGAGCTCTGCTGAGGCGGCAGCTCACGTGCTGAACACGAACTTTTAGAGAGGCCTCTGCCTTCATGCCATCATTTGATGCTGGGACAGAGGACGTGGGCATTGCTGGCCGGGTCTGGTGGTGTGACTAACCCTGGGGGGCTCAGGGCTTTGCCAGAGCTGTGGCCCAGATGGAGCCCTGCTGCATCTCTGTGACTTTCTACTCTCTCACTTCTTATTCTCTTATGACGACTCAGCAACTTGACTCACTTGGATGACGATGGCAAGACGCCCAGCCACACCACCACACAGGGCTCTCATGCCTGAGGAAGGTGCAGCAGAGGGGAGAGGGTCTCCTTCAGTATTGTGAGAATCTGCGCTGCCCAGGGTACAGTGACCCCTGCCCTGTATGGACACAGGCTCGCCGGGTCTGAGGACCACAGAGAAGCCAGGAGCTCGGCACTGTGGTGTGTGGCTCTGCATGGGCTGTGGGTGCAGCATGTGGGCACCAGGGAAGGCTGCCTCACAGCTCCTCTCTACACTGCACATCTGAGCGGCGGGAAGCCTCAGGAGGCTCTAGGGTCTGAGCCATCTGGGTCTCTGTTTCTTTGAGCTCCCATGGTTGCCATGGGGCAGCTCTCCTGTGGGCTTTCACCACACCAGGAGATTGGGGAGGTGGACTCTCGGCACTTCCCAGGCGGTGAGCCAGGAGCTGTCTGAGCCACCCAGAGCACCTGCCTGAAACTCACTGTCAACACTCATGGGGGAGCTCACCATGAAGGGGTTACCTTCAAAACTCACCTCCAAATAATACACAAGGTTGTCACTGATAGACAGTTAGTTGAACATATTAATGGGGCACAGCATGAGGCTTTGATCCCTGTACATGCTTACCTCATAATGACCCAGTTCAGGTATTTAGCCTATTGTTACCTCAGCTCACTTGAGAACTTTGCAAATCACTTCTTAGCTATTTTCAAATCTATGACATGGCATTGCTGCCCGAAGTCTCCCTCTGTGCTGGGTCCTGACTTGCCATGACCCTGTGCCCAGCACAGGCTGCCTGGCCTGCTGGCCTTGTCTCACACTGCAGGAACCCCCTGCTTTAAAGCACAGGGTGGTCAGTGTCAGGGAGACTGTGGACGGCAAGGGGCATCCGTCTTACACTGGATGTTTGCTACTTGCTAGTGGGTCTTTGGCTGAGACTTAATGGCTGCCCCCTACCATCTAATAACTGGACATAACCGAAAGCATATAGATGAAAAGTAGTAAACAATAGTAATCTGAGAAGATTATCTGCAGCAAATTCTGCCTTTGGGTTTACCCAGAGTACCCAAATGCTCTACTATATGGCTTCCCCCACCTGATCAATTGATGTTTATTGAGACCCTAAGATGTGTGAATCCTTGCCAGGTACGGAGGTGGAAATGAGAGGCTGAGTCCTTCTCTGTGAGGATGAAACAGTGATGGTAAAGAAGCATAAAGAAAGAGGAGGGTCACGAACTGTAAGGTGATGGAGGGGGAGCTGGCAGCTGGTTTAGGCTGAGACCTGTCTGAGTTTGGTAAAAGTGGCAGGTACCCCTCTGTAACAGCAACCATCCTCTCCTGAGACTCAGTGAGCCCAGCCCCATGTGTACTCCTCATGGCGCACGCCTTTTCTGGTGTAGGCTGTATGGCAAAGGTTTGGGATAAGAAAAACAGGAATTTTCAGGTATCTTTGATGATTTGCAACTGTTATGTTTTTAACCCAAACACAGATCTAAGACAGAGACCTTAAAATGCAAGCATAACCACTTGAGGTAAAAGCAGTTATAAGCAGAGAAGACAAGAGCTCACACCTCAAGTCAGGTGTGCTGGGAAGCACGGTCTTAGATGCACGGGCAGATGTCCGTGGGCCTGGCCAGCGCTTGGTCTCCCCGCAGTCTGCATCTGCTGTGGACGCAGAACCCTCAAATCGCACTCACTCCTGAGGTGGTCAGGGTGTAAGAAGCCTGGCACACGGTCTGTGCTCCTGTGAAAGTGCCACACACAGTGTGTGGCCCATGGCAGGTACCGACTGGCAGGCTCCCTTTGTCTCTGCATTTTCAGTTTCCCTGCGATTCCTCATTTGTAAAGACAGACAAGAGTGGATGGTATATGTGCTTTTGCTTGACAGAATTTCATAGGACTCATTTCGTTAGTGCATGATCAGCTTCATGGCTTCGAATCTAACTCCATTTTGCAACAACTAGGAAATGAAAGTAAGTAGAAGGAACAGCATGGGGCACCCGAGGCTGCTGCTGTTTCACAGTAACAGTGTCTTTAGTCTCCCGCTCCTGTACTTCCCGGACAGGACGGGCTACTCCAGGAGAGGCTGCGAAAGCCCTCGCCACTGCCACGCAGCCTGGCAGGCTTCCCAGTCTTCTGCTGCTCTGGGAGACACCTCTTTCCTGAGACCTCAGCCCTCGGCCAGGCCTGGGCTCTGGTGAAGACCTCCGGGCAGGAGCATGCACCAGCATTGCAGTCCCCCGCACACTCTGGCACTGAGAGACAGGTGTGCCATCCTGCAGTGCAGTTTGCTGTCTCCTCAGGCACTGCTTCCAGGACCCCTCGCGAAATGTGAACCCAGTTTTTGATGACATGAGGATAGTAAGGAGAGCAGCCCTGTCCAGGTGCAGTCTAACTGCAGAGCTACTGACCACTCTGGCAGGGGGAGCAGGAGTGGCTCCAGGTGGTGCTCGGGGGACCCAGCACCGTGTGCAAACACCCTATACCCTGGCTGTTGTGCCCTGCCGAGACCAGGCCTGGAGCCTGCAGTGGAGCCGGAGGCAGCAGCCTGTCTGTGTTTCTCCAACACAGAGGAATGCCGAGGATGTCAGCCTTTCCTGATGGGTCTTCTTTTTCACCACCTCCCACTGGCAAGAACCAGACTATACAGACTCAGCAGCGCACAGTCAGCGCTTCCTGCCATGCTGTTTTCAGCCACGCTGGCCAAGCACCCAAGGCCTGTGTGTGCGTGTGTAGCGGAGTGCCGTGAAACGCAGAGCCACCCAGCAGTGTGTGTGGGGTAGCCGTGGTGTCCCATATGGTGACTGCTGACCATCTGTCCTACCCCACCTCAAGTTCTTCTAGGGCAGGGCTGACGCTGAGTTCATCCAAGTCCCTGGGGCCTGGCACAGAGCTCAGCATAGCAACCCTCAAGACAGGGCCTGTGGACACTGTGGAGGGATAAGTGGATGCTGAGCTGGGGATGGGGTCAGTGGGGAGCCAGGGGAGACCCAGGAAGTGGAGGCCTGGCATAGCTTTCAAGAATGGTAAGATCCACACACAGTGGCTGCAGGGGCTATGGCTCAGCCCTGGCTCAGGCGCCTGCTGATACCCCATCCCATCCTGGGTAGGGTGCTGTCTTCTCAAGGAGCTGGGATCTGAGGATGAGGTCGGCGCACGGCTCGCTTGGAGCTCTTGCCCTGTGGGGTGAATGCAGACAGGCCCCGAAGGGCACAGCTCTCACGGGCTCACATGTACTGTCCCATCTACATTGCAGGGTCAGACTGGCGTGCTCACGCCCAGCTCCCACAGCGGGAACAGGCTAGGGGCCTCCGCCCCAGCTCATAGACAGCCGTCCTGAGCCTGGGTCACCCACAGCCTTCCCTGGCCCCTCCATCACACACAGGGCAGACAGTGACTAAGGCGGCCCAAAGCTCTGCCCTCAGAACCCTTCCTACTACTCAGCACCCGAGCGAAGGCCCGACAGCCCAGGTTAGATGGGTGCTGCTGGCCTGGTTTGGGGTGGGAAGCCATGGTAGCTCTCAGAGTCACAAAGCATGACTCTGAGGGCAGCTGGTAACTGGAAAGTACCACATAGCTCATGCGCCTGCAAATCCACACACAAACTCCAGCCTGAAGGACTCGTTCTCCTTTCTTGTGCTACCAATCCAGTCAAAGCTGGTGGGTTTAAGTTATGATTACTAAAAATAATTTTAATAACTAAACCAAATGGTGTTAAGTGTGAAAACCCCACACACTGCAGTCCCTACCACTCGGGGCTGAGGCAGGAAAACAACTGGAGCCTAGGAGTCTGAGGCTGTCTGGAAAACACAGGGAGATCCCTTCTGAAACAAACAAACAAGCAAACAAACAAACAAAAGCAAAAACAAATGCAAATGGGACCTTGGATCCACACAGCTGACCATCCCTGAGGGGAAAACTATGCACCAGTCCTGGGAATCATGCTCCCCACTGCTACTTCCCCTCCACGTGGCCACTAGGCCACAAGTGCAGCTGTGCCTGGCACTGGCTCTGCTGGCTGGGTCACTCACCTGGCTCCACCTCGTGCCACCCGCTGGACTGGCTGCCGCTGCCAGGAGAACGGCCCTGGCTCGTGTAGAAGGGCTCCTCGCCGGGACTGTCCATCTCGTCCTCCACGGATTTGAGGCGCTTTGTGGAGCTGCAATGACAAAGGGGTGTATGTTTAGGAGCCAGTGCTTCCTCCCTGGCCCGGCCCAGCCTGGCCCAGCTCTGGTTGCAGCAACCAGGTGGAACCTTTGGAGGTGCCCATGGCCTACACCTTTCCTATAGCCTACAGAGATAGCTCCTGTGTCCCCCCCGGACCAGGATGTGGAGAGTGGGCAGGGGTGCCCACTGCATGCAGGGACCCTATCAGGGGATGGTGGTGGCAGAGAAGGCCCTGAGGGTCTACAGGTCACATGCAGCAGCCAGCACAGGCCCCGAGCCCTGTGCACAGCAGGACAGGGTGGGTGGCAGTGGCCCTGTGGGCTGCAGGACATAAGCACAGAGGAGATGGACACAGGATGGTGGCAGGACCTGGGTACAGGCAGGGCTTCTGGACTGAGTAGGGCCTGGCCTGGCTGTGTCTGCTACTGTTTGCTCAGCAAGACCAGGCCAGGCGACTGACCAGGCAACTGACTGCCCAGAGTGGAGCCTCAACATGTCCATGAGGGTTACTGTGGGCTCTCCTGAAGTTCAGAAAGAGCCACCTGAGGAAGCTTTGGGTAAAGCCACATCTTGTGGAAATCCTTTCTTTGTGAGAGGGCAAACACACAATTCCTTCAATGCACACACCCTAGAAAATCTAGCCTCTGAATGCATTTGTGCCCCTTTATTAGAAAACACAAATTATACAACTTATGGCTTCCCCTTCTTGCCTCAGAAACCTGCAAGCTCAGGCCAGACGTGAAGCAGGGCTCTCGGTCCAGGTTCCTGGCTTTCTGTACTGTTTCTGGATCTTTCCTTATCTATCACCTGTCACGTGTCAAATCTAAAAGCCACTTCAAATCATCCTGGAAGTTGGAGAACTGAGAAAACCTCCTGAGCGCTCTGGCTGTGAAAGGTGCGGTGTGAACACTCGGGGCAGTGTGAGGCTGCAGGCGAGCGGCTCGCTGCCTGGAATGACGATTCCGTATCTCTAGTGCCCAGGCCTGTTGCCCTGGCCCTGGCTTGGGAGCTGCCGATTGAGTGGCCACCAAGGGCTCACCTGTACCTGCAGCACCATAGGCACCACTCCCAAGGACACTCCCTATGGGCCAGGCCTGCCACTCAGCCTGGACTCCCCAGCGTGTTCCAGTAGGAGTGGCCTTGCAGGGGACAGGCCCTGCATCACCAGCAGACACCTCAATCCGCAGCCAGGACTCTAGGAGCTGAGGTCAGGACAGAGGATGACAGTTGTGAGGGAAGGGACCTTCCCGCAGAGCAGGCCACAGAAGATGATGCCCCCCCAAGCCTCAGCCACTGTTTCCGAAAGCTGCTTTTGGGTCAGCCTCCATGAAGTTCTTGGGCTCGGACACGTATTCCATCCTGAGGTCTACATTACTCTTTCTGTGACTGTGGAGATATTTATCCTGAAGCAATTCAGACCCTGCAGAAAGCACCTGTCCAGTTCCCTTATTCACTTTTCCTGTTTTCACTTTTAGAAACGAATTGGTGCTGGATCTCACTCTGGCTCTTGGACTTTCTTCTCCACAAGCGTCTGAGAACAGGAAGCAGCAGTAAGAGCTTTCCAGAAAAGGGGGAAAATGCCAGAGGGAGCGACACACCGGTGCTTCCCAGTGCATACACCTGTGTGTCTCACAAGTTCTCCAGGGGGTGGGTGACAGTAGTGTCTGCTGGCATCTGCCGTGGTTGCATCAGGTGGGAGATGGGCAGCCGCACAAACCTCTCCTTTGCACTCCCAGGATGCTGTGGAGCTCTCTGGTCCCTTTTGCAGACTCCTCCTCAGCCCAAGAGCTCATGACCACCCATGGCCGATGCTCACTGTTGAGCTGGGAGGCTCAGTTTCCATCCTCCAAGGAATTTGGGGCTCAGGTAAGGGTGGAACAGGTATGTGCCTTGAAGAGGGTGAGGATGACTTGGGGTGTCATCCCTCAGGCCAGGCCAAGGCAGGGTGCTAGTGCCTCCTCCTGGGCTCTCATTTGAGTTGTCCCTTCCCAGAGGGCTGCATGGGAAAAACCACGTGACACTCGTGCTACAGACCCTGCCTGGCATATGGACCTCTGTGTCCACTCAGCCTTTGGCCTTGGGCAGGGCTATGGTCCCCTCAGAGCCACATGGGTGGCACTGTCTGTCCTAGGCTCAGGCCTGGCAGACCCTTTGGACCTGGCCAGTGTGACAGCATCCAGACCACCATGTGGACAGTGTCTCTGAAGTGACTCTGTGTTGTCCTGTGTGTCTTTTGTCCTGACACGGACCCCTCTGAGTCTATGCAATGAAAAAATTCCTAAAGCTGCTGTAGGAAGAGCACAATGAGAGTAAAACAGGCACAGCAACGAGGGATGATCTGTAGCTGAAGTTCATAAAGAACTCCTGGTCGGGCTGGTGGTTACAGGGTGCTGGGTGATGCCGGCCTCTAAGTGATGTGATTAACAAGCTCCTGCTCAGTTACAGTACGGGATGCCAGGCTGAGGTGAGGGACAGGACCAGGGTGCCCGGGGCACACACTGCTCACAGGAAAGGAAATGGCCACAGGCTTGTCAATCGGCTGCTGCCCACGTGGCCCGAGCAGAGGCACAACCCATGTCCTCCTGCAAACAGGAGAACCTCCGCACCGCCCTCTAGCATGATGCTCCCTAGAGCTGGTGATCACAGCAAGCCCGGGACATTCAGACCACATCACAGATGCCATCAGGGCCAGGTACTGCGTGGGGAGGAGCTGTTCCTCCAGTGGCCTTTGAGGCACGGGACATGACCAGGCAGACGCAGTCACAGTAAGAATGTGTGAGATGCAGGAGCCAAAGCCTAGGATGGGTCTCCACCAGAAAACGTCGGTAACTGGACACCGGCCCAAATCACAAAGCTCCGGCCTCACTTGAGGAGACACAGAAACAGGCTCCTCTGCAGAGCATGCATAGTGAAAGCCCATTCCGCCCACTCCAGGGCCAATGCTGGCGTGTGGAAGAACACCGTGGCTCAGCTGCTGAATGCCTGCCCGGGGAAGGGCATCTTTGGGTATCGGCTTCTCGACTGTAGCCTCTGGGTTGCAGCAGTGGGGATGTGGAGGCCAGGAGGTGGCTCGGCTGCACTCCCAGCCCTGCTCCTCTGTGGGTTCCCCGGGTCCCGCCGTCTGTGGTCTGTGGTTGCTGCCTGTCTTTTACAACCTCAGCACAGGATGTCAGTCAGTCTTGTAGGAAACCCCAGCTTGGGGTCTCAGTGGGAGAAGGGCTGAGACTGAGCAGCAGCATTGGCTGTGGGCAGGGGACAGGACTGCTGTCACCAGTGCTGCCTCCTGCCTGAGGAACCATGCATGCCCTCTGTTCCCAGCCAAGGGTGCCAATGCTTCAGGAAATATGTGTCTGCCTCCTGGCCCCCTGCCCTCTGTGACCACCCACCCATAGTAGTGCCCTCCCTCTGACCCAGGCCAGGCCCAGGACGTTGGTTTGGGATGAAGCCTCTGAAAACTACTTTTTAGCCCATTGTGTACTGCTCTGCTCAGTGTTCTCAGCTGTCTGAGAGGTGAGCACCTTTGGATACTTTTTGATGTGTATGTGCTATGTTCCTCCAGTGACACCAAGGCCTGTGGGGGCTGAACCTGCTTTTCTGGTGCTGTCCCCACCACAAACCCACTGCTGAATGCCTGTCACCCACATGGGTGCAGTTGCACTGGGGTATGCACTGTCAACTCCACCAGGGCCACCGTGGGTTACCTCGTGGAGGACGTGCTGGGTAGTGACCTCCTCATGGCTCCCGGGCTCATGCTGTAGTATGAAGAACTTTCCAAATCAGACAGAGAAAAGTTGGGGCCAGTTCCTGCAGCTATGGGTGCTGGAAAGGAAAGGAGAGGAAGACGCATCAGTTAAGCTTTGTGTGGGAAGACCCATGGGTAATGCTCCTCGGAGCACCAGCCTCTCTGCTGTTTGCAATTCTCCCCAGTATTCAGGGGTCAGCCCTGACTCGAGGGAGGTAGGCGGTGACAACAGCCTCCACCCGAGGCGCGGTTCTCTCCAGCCCTCTCCTCCCCTTACCTTGCTAATCGTAAGCTACTGCGGGTTTACAGCATCCTCCAGCCTGAACTAATGCCTTGCCTGCTTTGGGCTCAGCCCTCCCCAGGGACCAGCCAGAGCGCTTCCTGGACACTGTGACTGCCGGGTCTCAGCAGCTCCTCGTCACCTGTGTTTTAGGGCTCTGCTCTGAATTCTGATGTGGGGTACTCCTCCTCCAAGCCCCCACAAGGGGCCCCCCAAGGGGTGCCGTCTCGTTTCACTTGCTGCTTCACTTATAAGCTCACTTTATAAGCTGTCACTTATGGCCCTGAACCCACACTTTTGTAGACAAACTGTCCTGGATTGCTGGCCCACCCATGCACTGACCACTGCTGCACACGAACTCAGCAGACACATGCCCCGCCTTCAGTCCCAAGCTGGTAATAGTGCTTTTAGAGCTGACTGTGAGCTGCAATTTCCTGTACTTTGTGTCCTAAGCCTCCAAAAGCCTGTCTACAAAGGTGCTGCGGTCATTTCTGAATGAGCCACCACACCTACCGATCTTACAGAAGTCTGTAAAAGTAATGGCATTACAACAGTGTGACTAGTTCTCTGAAAGGTGCTCTGACAGCAGCACAGTAGATGGATACAGTATCGTACACTGGACAGACCAGAGCCTTCAGCACACACAGTCCATACATTTCGATGCATGAGCAGGTTCAGAACAAGCTCACATCTCTCAGAAGGAAAGGCCGGGACCAGAATAGGACTGACCGGGGATTTCCATTCCACAGGATTCTTGGGGCCAGCACTGTTGGCACAGCACAGCCACGAAATGCAGTCTCCTCACCCACTTCAGAGAAAACACTTGGTCAGGAACTGAAGGCCAGGCCAGGGTGGAACCTGGCATAGACGCAGTGCCCACACAGCCTGCAGTGGTGGCAGCTATCTGTCTGTCATCACTGAAAGCCTAAAGGTCCCCTTTGCCATCCTAGTGTGAGGTCCCAACTGGGATGCTGGACCAGGAGGTGGCAAAGCTGAGGGCAGGGCTGGAGGCTGCTGACAGGAGTGGAGCCTGAGGGTGGAGCAGGCTTGGCTGCACCCCTTTCCCCCAGGTGATGTCACTCTGTGGAGAAGGTTGGGTGGCTGTGGACCTGGCAGACAGAATGATGTGGATCCAAGCCCACACCATGCCTCACTCTCGGTGAGATGAGGGATATGCAGCAGGCATCACCCCAAACCTGACATCCAGAGGGGGTCCCACACCAGCCAGAGGGGACCACACGCACGGCCCTGTCAGCCATCTCTAGAGATCATGTCAGGGGCGGGTGTGGGGAGGGTGTGCTGGAGTTGGTGAAGGCAGAATCAGTGAAACCGAAGAGCACAGCTGCTGGGGTGGTGAATGCAGGGAGCAGAAAGGAGGACACTGGGGCGAGGAGCCTGGGGTCAGTGTGGGCAGGAAGGGGGACACAGGGCACGGCAACTTCTAGGGATAAACTGAGCTGTCTGATGAATGTGAAGACTTGCGAAACGATGAAAGACATGGAGCTCTCGGGAATGTAGTGTTCAAAGTTCCGGTGCCTCTCTCCACCTCAGGCTGTCCTAGAAGCAGGGGCTGCATGCGTGTCGCACAGACTGACCTGGCGACACCCGTGAACACGGCTGGCAGCAAGGACGCCGCATCTCTCCAACCCAGGTGTCAGGTGGGAGGCAGATTTGCACGATCTCTTCTTGTAGCTCATGAGACTTTCTGTGTGACACAGGCTGGGAGCTATGAGGCTCAAATGCCATGCAGGTCACTCACTATCTTTGCAGGACAAGTCTTGGGCTACGGGTCATGCTTGTCCTCAGCCGGAGGTCATGGACTATAACAAGCTGGCCAGCCATCAGTGTCTACAGTCTTCATGGGTTTTCTTCCCAGGTGGCCTTGAGGGAGGGGAGAGAAAGCAGCAGGGTCCTCCAGTTCCTGGAAGGCACAGAGCAGGGTGACCCCCCTGAGTCCTCTGTCACTACATGATCCATCTAGGAGCTTTCCCTCGAGGGTGCTCCTCAGCTGTCAAGGAGACAGAGCCAAAGGAGGGAGAACACACGTGCAGGCAGGATGTGTTGCCTGCAGGAGTGGCCTCATCCATGTCCTGGCCAGGCCTCCGAGTCTGCCCATGAGACCCATGATACCCGCTGAGGCACAGAGCAGCTGGTGCCTCCACCCAGGTGCCTTGCATACCCATCACTGGAGCGGGTAGACTTTACATCGTCCCAACGTTTCTGCAATAAGACTGAGTCTCTGGCTTCCAACCTGGATTCAAGGATCCTGAAGAGGCTCAGCCTGGGCCTGGCCTGGCGCCCTCAGATCTGCTCTTCAGAGCCCATGTGCCCTGCAGGGTAGGCTTTCAGGTGGAACCTGACAGAGTCATGACCATCGTTGGCCAGGAAAAGCCCAGCGCCTGCGGGAGGGGCTGTCTGGACACCTGCAGACTTCAATGCAAGGACAGGTGCCTGTGGCAGGGAACGACGAAGCTGGGGCTGCAGGCAGGCTCTTCCCATGGCCCTGAAAGCCAAATTTCGATAGGCATTTTGTTTACTGTGCCAAACTGAATCCTCCAAACAACCATTTCAGGAAAGCACATTTTCTAGGTGAGAAAAACGAAGCTTGAGATTGAATAACTTGTCCTTGGTTATGGGAAGGCACATAAGAGTTAAATGTTATAATTCAAAGGCTGTCTGTGCCTTTACCTGGTACCTTAGTGACTACATGGAATTTGTGTTAAACTTGGGATGATAAAAAGCACAGAGTCTCTGTTCCCTGAATGGACACCGATGCAAGGCCTGAACACACCACACAACTGCCCTCCGAAAGGTCAGGAGGAGGCAAATGGGGATAGTGGTGCCTCTGCCCAGCCTGTGACGATGTGCAGGCTCAGAGGCAAGAGACATGGCATCAGTGTGGGGATGGGGGCCAGAGTGACCTGGAGAGCAGGAACCTGGGCCTATGCCGAGCTGTTGGCACTATGCTGTCAAGACAGGGAACAAATTTTGGACCAGGGGCCTCGGACTTGGGCAAGCCAACTGTGCACTGTGAGAGGACATAAAGCAGTAAGTGGCGCTCGCTGCTAGCAAGAGCATGGTCAGTGAGGCGTGTGTGACAGTGCACGTTAGGTAGGAATGGGTTTAAGCCGCTTTTACAAATGAGGGAATGAACTGCCGTCTCAGGAGTGAGGTGACTTCTCCAAGGCCACCTTGGTCGGGGATGAGCACTCACTCTGTGGTGACACCAGAGAGTGCACAGCCCCTGCCCGCCCAGCATGGTGCAGAGGAGGATAGGACTTCCCGCTCCCACCCTGTGATCTGTCCTGTTCTCTGGCTGGTGGCCCTGGGCTTGCAGATCTTTGATTGTCCCACCGGTGACATTTCCTCCCCAGTAGGAGGGAGCTGCCAAAGCTGGGTGAAAATGTCTGGGGCCTGCATGAGCCTGGAACCGGGCATGACACAGAGATGCTTAGCTTCATGTTCTCACAACGACAAGGACAGTGTGGAAGGTGCCACTGCCACCACCTCAGGCAGGTGCCAGATGACAGCCCTGGACAGCCATGGACATCATCTCACTTGGTCCTCAGAACACCATGGGGAAGGGTCTGTGGCACAGAGAGGCCACTTGCATCTCCCAGGTCAAGGGGCAGAGGTCAGTCTCCTGGTGACAGTTACGTGACAGCTCAGCCTGCAGCTCTGCATCCACAGCTGAGTCAAGGGCGTGTCATTCTCTTCCTGGCCCAGAACTCTGAACCACATAAAGGAAACCTAGAACCCTACACAGTGGAAGACGTGGCAGCTGTGCACCGTCTCAGCCACGCAGTGGCTGCTCCAGTCGGGTGTCAGGTTCCCTACAGACCTGTCTCCAAGGTTAATTTTTTTTTTTTTTTGTCTTTTGGAGACAGGGTCTCATTATGTGGTTCAGGCTGGCCTTAAACTCACTTTATACCCAGGTCGTTCTCAAACTCCGAGTGCTGGGATGACAGGCATGGGTCCCCATGTCCGCTCCAAGATTAACTTCTGGAAACTGTCTTCAGATGTTATTTCTAAGTCACACAGCCCCACTCTTTCCTGTCATGAGTAGAATATACTCTGTGTCACTCCTTAATAAATGGTTTGCTATTAAGGAATCATTATAGTAATGCGGGCTACTGGAAGAAGGGGCTGCTCCAGCCGCCAACCCTCTTAATGACCCTCATCTGCGCGCTTCAGGAGCTGGAAAAGGCTATGGTTATTGAACTGCTGCCACCTGCCAGAGGAGATCTGTTCAGCTCTCACTGCTGGGAAGAGAGGACGATGGGAAGAAACAAATTCCATTCCGATTTCCAAGCTCCTTGTTTGGGCCATGACAGTGCTGAGGGCACACTTGTGTGACAGGAATTATTGGACATGTGACCAGCTGAGCGGAGTGTCTGGCCCACTGTGAATGCACAAGGTCTGAGAGACCTTCTTGCTGTTCTGCCTTGGGTCCGAGGCATGTGCTCACTTGGCTGGTTCCAGAGGAGACTCATCCACGCAGGCAGGCGGTGTCCCGCATGGGGCTTCCACACCAGAGCTCAACAATGGGGCTCTTTTGGTCCACATGAGCACCCAAGAAGGAGGAATGCCGGTCACAGAGCCCCCAGAGTCAGATGGGGCTCAGCACGCACTGCTACCTTTATAAAGCAGCCCCAGAGACCTGGCTGTGTTTCCTTCAGAGCGCAGGACCCTGTCCTCATGCAGATCTTGGGAACTGGTGCCTGGAGCAGGCGGGGAGGAAACCCGGCCCAGCTGGCAGCTCCTGCACCAGAACAATTAGTGTTGCTTTGCATTCCA